GTGTGTGTGTGTGTGTGTGTGTGTGTGTGTGTGTGTGTGTGTGTGTGTGTGTGTGCGTGTGTGTGTGTGTGTGTGTGTACCTGTGTGTGTACCTGCGTGTGAGTGTGTGTGTGTGTGTACCTGCGTGTGTGTACCTGTGTGTACCTGCGTGTGAGTGTGTGTGTGTGTGTGTGTGTGTGTGCATGTATACTGTCCCTGATGTGATACTGTCACTTCTTTAGACAGTTAAACATTTTCTGTGAGTGTTTTTATTCTGTATTTTTCTGTATTTTCGCAGCTCTGTGTCCACTCTCTGACACATTTCCCACGTGTGGGACCAATAAAGGTTTATCTCATCGTCCTAACAGAATATCCAGCCCCAGCTGGCTCTGTGCACTCAGACTGACTTCAGAGATCATTTCACACATTTGGATCTTTGATTTCAGTCCAGGTGAAGCTCGTTGCAGGAAACCGTCCTCTCACAGACGAAGAGCTGGGCGGTTTCCAGGTTTGGTCTTTGTAGACTTTCCTGGTTTATAAGGAACAAATGACGGGCTGTGATAAGGGACAGCACAGACGCCTGGACAGACGATCGAGTGTGAGCCACCTGCTTTTGAAGCTTTTTAAAAGGCCCAGTTTTTACCAACAGGTATGAACCCACTCGTGTCATGTCTCAGGAGACTGAAGGCTTTAGCTTTACAGACTCTTTATAAGGACCCTGAATGCTGCATCAGACACAGATAGCATCCTTTTAACTACCACCTCTTCCTGTGAAGATGACGTAGTGCATCCTCACCCTGGGGTCGTTGATGCCAGTGATGCGCTCCTCAGGCCGGTCCAGCACCAGGAAGGCTGCCAGGTTGGCAGTGTATGAAGCTACGATGATCATGGCGAACCCTGCCCACACCATACCCAGAATCCTGGCCGAGAAACTCCTGGGAGCTCCTGCACGCAGAGCAGACAGGAAACAGCGCCGTCAGCAGGTAGCAGCGTCTCGCCACCGGCTTTACCTTCAGCATCCTCTTACCTTCTCCTATCCCAGAGTTCAGCAGCACTCCCCACGAGAACCACATGGCCGAGGACAGGGTGAGGGCGTCTTCCTCTTCTTCTTCGCTGTTCACTTTGAACCTTCCGAACGGGCTGCACACACACAGCTGTGTTAGACTTCACAGCTACATCACAGGTAAAAGTCCTATCCTGATTTTGACCTTTGACAAAATCAGAATAGGACTTTAAGTGTCTACCTGGGCACAGACTGGGAAAAAAACCCTCGTTGTCATTCTTCTGTACGGCTGCTCTCAAGCCCCGCCCACCGTCGTAATGTAACCCCGCCTACACCCGTCCCGTGTATGTACGTTTCACGTGCGGTAACAGACCAAATGAAGCGCTCATTAGGAATGGCTGTTTTTGTTGAAAGCCAATACGCCATTTTTACCGTCTCACCCCTGTGACCAGGGGCTTGAACGTGCGACCGAACACGTGGATGAGCTAATATCTCGTTTTGTGGAGTTTGGGATTTCTGCTGCTGTTTTAAAACATGAGTCTACAGCTGAGTGACTCCTTGGAGGGCGGGGGCGTGGTCTGAGGCGTGGTGTTGGTTTACCTGAACCGGTCTAGTAGGTAAAGCATCACTGCCACCACATGGACCGACAGACCGACTAACAGCCACAGCGTGCTCTGGAACGGCTGCATGAACGAGTCCAGAGTGCTGCGAGGGATTTCCTGTGAACACACACACACATCATTAGTTTTATTTCCAACATTATCTGAGACAGTTTGGAGCAGGAATCTTTTATCAGCTGTTTGAACTCTTTTAGCTCCGCCTCCTTAAAGCCAGCTCCTTCCTGATTGGTCACCATTACCTTTAATGTTCATGTGTCTTAATCTGTTCCAGACTCTTTGAGCTGCTCTCTTACTGATGAAGATTATTTTTAATGAATGAACTAATTAAAGTTTTGTCTGGCTTGGCTCGCAGCGTGAGAACGAGAAACCTGGGTAGTTCGCACGCTGATGGGCGGGGCCTACAGCTCTGCTTTCACAAATGTCCATGCAGGACCTCCTCGCTTCAGCCAATCATCACTCACTTCACTTCAGCTTCTCTCACAGTAACAATCAGCACTGAGCTTTCAGCCACATGCCCAACAAGTCCGGAGACGGGAGCGAGTACGACTCCTCAACACGAACTTTGCTGAGAACAGTTTGTCCCTCGTCCTCCATCTTCACCTGGCCCCAGGTGTCTGTAGGCTGAGCGGCTGATGACCCCCCCACACTAGCAGGGGCTCCCAAGAGCCTGTGAAAGTGACGTGCTCTGTTATCTCCATGTCGGTGTCGCTTACATCACAACTTGCCAATCATATTGTCGGATCATTCAGTTAGCATTAGCCAAGAAGTTAGCTAACACTATTTAAAAGCATCACCAGCAAAGTGAAACGTGGCTAACAGCAAACCTAACGCGATAATAGCTTTGCCTGAATTAATCGCTTACGATTTCTTCTAGAAGACAAAGGCATTTGTGTCTTTTTCGCTATCTCTCCCGGGCTATGACATCACAGTCATGTGATTGGTCAGTTGAGCCTGGGTGAGGGATGCCGTAGGGACAGCACCACAAGCTCGTGTGCATGAACACCGGAACTGTTTAACTAACATGGACTGCACAACATCGCCGTTTCCCTGTGACGAAACGTAACCTCGGTTCTCTGCTGCTCTCACGCTGGCTCAGGCTGAGCATCACCGCTTTGTTGTGTCGTGACAGCGTCACATCATGAACCTTCATCGTGGTTTGCACTTCCTCGCTCGCTCACCTTCTTGACGAGGATGGTGAGCCCCTGGTATTTGAAGGGTTTGGAGAACTCGATGTACTGAGCGCGCTCGTTGTTGATGGTGAGTGGGGCGACGATCATGTCGGCGAGGCCTCCCAGCAGCTCCCCCATCATCCCGTTCCACTCCTTCTTGTTGCTGTTGTTCACCTGCGGGAGGGAGGGAGGGCGGAGCTCTGTTAATGAAGGTTTGAGTTCCTTTTACATCGTTCATTCATGACCTCACTGCAGCAGGTTAAAGGGTTAAATATCTGCAAACCCACATCAGCTGCAACAAACACTGTGAGGTGTGCTCAGCAGCTCCAGCCTGATCACATTATTGATTACTGATGAGCCAATCCGCTGGGAGGAGCACAGCGAATCCCTGATTGGCAGGTTTGAAGTTTCTGGCTTTAAATAATAAAGGAGGATCAGATTTGTCTGAAGCGGCTGCATTTTTAAAGGCTGAGCTCAGATTGAATAAAACATGAAGGAGAACAAGATGCTTTCATGTGATCGACTAAACAGGAAACATCATCCTTCAGGAGCTGGGTATACGTGGAACATAAAGCAGATTTCAGGCGTGAATAATCTGTGAAGAGACGAGAGAGGAGGAAGAGGAGGGGGGAGGAAGGGGGGGATCCAGAGCACAGAGGAGGCGATGAAGGAGAGCGAGCAGCAGAGAGAGAGATGAATAAATGTCTCTCGGCTCCGGCAAGGTCGGAGTCAGGGACGGAGCGGTGGTCGCCATGGCAACAAGCCTGGGCGACGAGCTGCCGATGGGGATGAATCGGTAAGCAGGTCAGAGAGAGCGAGATGGCGATGACATCATCAGGCCGCAGATAACCACACGTAAGCAGAGACCGTCCGTTTACTTTTGAGAATGAACTGTAATCACATTACTCCAGCTCACTGATGACACAGCCAATCAGAGCCAAGAACAACATCCACACACAGAAATTCTCCTCAACGCGCCACTACTACTCCACAGACTGTATATGAAAGATGGCCAGAGCCTCCGCTGTCGCCATGTTGTTTTTTAGTTTCCAGAAGTGACCGTATTTGGATGAGAGGGTGGAGCTTATGCTGTCAGCTGACCATCACCTACACCTGCTAAATCACAGCCTGCTGGGACAGCTCACCTCAGCAGCCATGTTACTGTTGCCACGTAAACAGAACAGCTGTTTGTAACTAAGCTGTTTTGGTGCGTGACGTCGCTCCTGCGAACATCAGCCTGCAGCTGGATGGAAATGTGTTTTAATGTGTTTCAGTATCTAATGTAACCTCCGACCTGCAAACGTGCTGGCACAGATCACACGTCCTTCATCGCCTTCATCATCGTCAGTCTGCTCACCTGAGCTCCACGCCTCAGATCCACCTGAGGGACGGAGCACAGTCAGCTGCAAAGAGCCTGACCGTCATCCCTCACAGGATTACAGGATCAGGATACTCTGATTACAGCAGAGAGCTGAACTTTCCCCTGGAAGTTATTCAGGCTGATGTGACACACACAAATATTCAAACAGGTGTACAGGTACACTCACAGACTGTATGTAAAAGATGGATGTAGCCTTTTTGTTTAAAATGTTATTTTTAATGTGTTTTTATATCCCGGAGGTGGCCAGCAGGGGGCGCCTCTTCTGGTTATGAATACAAGTCTGTGAGACAAGGAGCTTCCTGCTCGGCTGATCTGAGCTCAGTGAGCCGAAGTCGCTGCTCTCAGGTCTGAATGTTCAATTTGGAGATGATGTCATCAGAGTAGGGATGGGTATCGTTTAGGTTTTATCCGATACCGGTGCCAAATCGGTACTTTTGAAACGGTGCCGGTGCTTAAAGAATGGAGAACACAAACTTTGTCCAAAAACCTCTCATGTTCAGCTGTTGTTTTGTAAAAAGATAACAATGTTAGCCTTTTCTGCAGCTATGGGGCATATATGGTATCACTCTTGGCTGGAAGCAGTGCTTAAACAATGGAAAAAAAACACAAACTTTGTCCTAAACCTCTCATGTTCAGCTGTTTTCCACTTTTTCTTTGGTCATTTTAGCCTTTTTGTCCAGGGTGAAGGGAGTATCTGCCATCAAACAAGAAGACAGCCGCATGTAGCTATGATGATGTTTGCTAGTTCACCTTACATGCATTAATATAATAACGTGGTTAGCCTACTCAACGTAAATTACACTCGAACAACATTAAGCGACTCACGCAGAGAAGAACGGCTGCTGCTGCATCATCATCCTCATCATTTCTGCTACACTGGCAGGGCTAGGGGCCAGGACTCTATTCTTCGGGTTTTTGGGGGATGTTGCTCCGGGTCCGATAACTGGCAACCCACCCAACGTGCACAGTGTGAGGTCTCGCAGCAAGCTATCAAATACGGCACATTTTTCGGCTTTTAAAAAAACGCTATGCGTCGCCAGGTGTTTCATCGGATTCGAGGTGTTACCTCCTTTGACAGTATCACAGTATCAGCTTAAAGCACTTGTTGCTGCTGAGTTTGCATCTTTTGCTGTGAAGTACAACCAGACTTTTGACCGCTTCGCCTTGGACATTTTTAATCTGTAGCTCTGCTCTAACTGAACGTACGTACCTGGCCCCGCCTACTATCCTGGGAAACGTAAAATGATTGGCTAGAAGTGTATCACAGCTCAGGAAAAAAAAGCACCGAAATAAAGCACCGAAATGTGCGCCGCTTTTCGGTCTGGTTACTACCGTTTATGTCAGAACCGGTACCATCATGGCACCGGACACTGGTACCCATCCCTACATCAGAGTGAGGAAGGAGGAGGAAGCATCGAGGGCGGGGCTACACACTGAGTCTATGAATGTGCAGTGTGCTCAGTCTCTCTGTCAGACCCCCCGTCATCGTCACATCGAGCTCCAAAAAGACGGAAACACTAAACAATTAAGTTGTCCATCTTTGATATACAGTCTTTCATGTAAAGCAGAAGGACAACACGTCCAAACAGGCGGACGTTCGTCATCTCCAAAACCAGAACAGCAGTCGGACCTGCTGCAGTGACAGCGAACAGAGTCATGTGACACTTACTCGCTCCTGCGTGCCAAACTTCCCATCAGCCACCAGGTGAACCTCATAGGTGAAGTTCATACTCATGGCCAGCTTGATGAGCAGGTCGATGCAGAAACCATAGCAACACTGCGGGACGATGGGCTGACCTGGACACATAAACACAGCCTCATTTCAGTCATTCAACTTTATATATACGGTGCACAAACACACGCACAGAAAACGGGACAAATCGGGTCTGGGAGGATGGCGTGTTAGCGTACCTGGTATGGTCCCGTTGGGTCCAGTACAGATCACCTTCTTGATCAGGACTCCATTGACGGTGTACTCCTCTTTACACGTCCCGTCGCTTTTCGTTGGCTTCACGTAAACAAATGGCTCCTGATGAATCGTCACGATCTGAGCGCACAAACAGCGAACACTCAGAGACGTGGACTGATCCAAACGATCTGGGAGACGCTGACGCTCGTCATCGTGGCATAAATGTTATTACAGCCCACCCATCCAAGCCGTAGTTCATCGTTTGTACAAACCTCAGTTGTGACGGCTTAAAGGTCCACAAAGCTCATTCAGTTTTACATATTTGAATGTAGACATTCGACAGGTCTTAGTCATGTTGCAAAAACACATCTATAAAAGGTTTAACTGTGCCCTGCAACTTGTGCTTCCTCTGATACTATTCTGTGTTTAATTCTAGTGTTTCCTGAAAACTTGCCATAGTTTCTTTTGAAATCTTTGGTTAAACCCAGACTTTATTTGTAATACGTTTCTATAAGAGGAGTGATTTATTTTAAATTTCTATCAATAATATTTGTTTTCTAAATATGTTATTTAGAAACCAAATATTTTTTCTGATGGAACAGGAATACCCTCATTTTCTAAGCGCCTACAAGAAATAAATGTTTGACGACGTAGCTGTGATCATGCTCCATAACAGTGGTGCAGTTTGAAATCTGACTGACAGGTTGTTTGAAGTTTTATTGGCATAGGAAGTGATATGTTAACTGAGGCACACCTCAATGTGTGCCCAGGTCTTTAGATAACCTTTTCAAACTCCAAACTTAAATACAACCCTGAAATATCCGTGTAGGTTGTTAGTCATACAGCCCACATGTATATATACAATGGAAATACAGAGGACCAAATACAGAGCCTTGGCCTACTCCACATTTTACATAAACAGAAAATATAAACATTCACAGGACAGAAAATGAAATGTAACAGATTAAAAAGGCATTTTTCATGCTGTGGCTTGGCTTAACATCTGACCTGATTCATGAAGAACACAACAACAAACCACAACTCATCATTATCTGCAGAGCTCATGTCTTCAAAAACGTCCAACATAAAAAGTTGCAAAAGGAGCGGCATCACATTTCTGAGACGATGAACCGAACAGACGCGTCGGGCTGCGGTTTTACCTTCAGTCTGGTCGACATCTGGTATCCGACTGGCTTCTCCGTCTCTCCTCCAGGCCAAATGATTTTCCTCTGAGGGTTCATCACAACCTGAAGGGCACACAGAAACACACGGTGAGCACTCAGGTTGTGATGTTGTTGCACGCAGGTCTCACTGTGACAGGCTGACTAAATGACAGCATCAATACTGCATCTATGCATTCATATTTAAAGAGGCAGGAGGCCTGGATGCTCGCTCGCTACACCATGTTTCTCTCAGCAGCTCAGCTCTGACTGGCGTCGTACCTGTCACCGAACTAAACATTCATCTCATTTAATCAATAGTGAACTACTGCAGCAACTGTAGCTGCAGCACTCACTGATTCATGCGAGATTTATACTGTCACAGGCTTATTCCTCCTCCTTGGATCTTTATTTGGAACTAAACACTGTTTATTTGTGTGATATTTTGAGTATCACCACCCTCACCGAGAGACGTCGGTGAGGGTGGTGTATGGGGACAGAGAGACATCGGTGAGGGTGGTGTATGGGGACAGAGAGACATCGGTGA